GGAGGGAGGGGGTGGGGGTTGGTGGGAGAGGACTGCTTCGCCTACTCCGGCCCCGCGCATCTCTCCTCCCCAGGGGGACTGTTGAAGACGAGCGCGTGATTATTCTTGCTCAGGTGGAGGGGGAGGGGCAGAGGGGGAGGGGGAAGGGGGGCTCATTCTTCAAAGCTAACGGTATTTTCGGATTTTAGGGGAATTCGTAGAAATTCCGAGGGCCCCGAGGAGGTTTTCCAAGCAAAATTGATGGTTTTTGCGCGGCACGCCAAAACCACCTGAAACTGTCTTCACAGCTCAGAACAGCCGATTCGGATTACGGATATATGAGGATTTAAACACCAAGCACATTCACTAAAGGGCCGCCAGAACTTTCAGAAAACATCTTCAAATTAAGACTGGCCGCCAGAACTGTCAGAAAACATAGCTCAGCTAGCCTTGCCAGTAGTAAACAGTACCACTGCTGGCAAGCATAGCTCAGTGGCAAGCAGCGCTGCTCTGGTACAGGAGTCGAGGGTTCGGCTCCGCCACGGTCTAGGCACACTAACCAGTCCCACTACGATTCGTTCACATATTCGTTTCGATGGTAAGCTGATTGATTGTAGCATAAAAGTAATATTAAAAACTTAAATAGGGCAGGAATAGAACGAACTATGTATTTTGATGGATGTAGAAATATAGCTGGTACAGGAAAAATAAGTACGAAAGAGTTAAGAAACTGTGGTGGTAGCGAGACACCACCATCAGCTTGCTTCTAAGCAACCCTCGAATGAGAGAGACAGACAACATTGCTGGCGGCTTAAATCGATTACACAAATCGCCTTTCGTAAAGGGTCAAATACGAAGAGATTTCGGGCTATGCATTGCGCAAAAATGACCAGAATTAATTAGAACATTAATTTTTACGTCCAATTCCTACAGCAATTATTAAAGCGAAATCAAAATCACCGGGTTACTGCTTTTTTCGATCAAAAAATAATTAAATCGTTAAAATTGTCTTTTTAATTTTAGTTCAGACTAACGCCGGAAAAAATAACCCAGACCATGCGACCCCTTACCTCACGCAAAATCCTCAAT